TTAAATCGTTTTTACGATTTCATCAGGATCGCAGCACTTTTCAGATACCTTAATAGTTCTATAGTTAAAATCTGAAAGCTTACTTTGATCCATAGAGTGTATGCCCTTGCACTAGATCGATTTATTAAGACCCCCCACATTTCCCTACCATGTACTTGCATACAAATATACGGCAATGTCAATTAAATACGTAATGTACAGAAAATATATTAATAAAATAGTGAAGAAGACATTAAATTCAAGTTATTGGCTCATAGAATATCTGTAAATAATATTTTATTTAATTATAGAATACATATTTTGTTGAAAAAATATTACTTGATCCTGTCTCTCACTGCATACAAACTACGTCACGTTGTAAGAAATGACGTCATATTGACAAGTGTATTGCGATCAGTGACTTGTTTATAACTTGTTATGTGGGATTTAACTAACGACAACACAACACGCTGTAGTAAGTTTTTATGTAGTTTGATGATTTCTTACTGGTTAAATTAGCACATAAACTCATTTTGTGGTATTCTAAAGAATTGTTGTATGACGTATATTGTGTATGATGTCATAGTCAAGTTTTCCCGTACAAATTAGGCTCCGCCTCCTTTTTGTAACCTTAACTGTGCTGCGTGATGCCCCCGCCACCCATATGGTTATAATGGCAAAGTCAATGTTTTGCTGTGGTCGGGAAACCCAAAATATTTGTCGGATCAAAAAGTAAAATAGGAGGTCACAATGGCAATATGTAATAAAGATTCTGTGAAAGTTTCATTAAATTTCACTCAGTGGTATAAGAGGAGTTGCGGATAAGAGATGGGTACCACAAAGCGTAACAGACGGACGGACGGACGGACATACCGATTACTGTTTACCCTCCCGCTTTTCAAGCGGGGGTATGACAATAGAATCCATGTAGTCGAAAGACCATAAAATGGATGCATAACATTCGTTGTGGTCTGTATGATCCTTCTTTCAATCTTTAAAATTCATTTATCAAAGCGAGATCTCTAAATTTGACGAATGTCATAAACATATTATAACAAGAAAAAGTCTACATATTTTAAAGTAGCCGATTTATGTAACTACGTGTAATTAGAATATTTTTAAGGTTAAAGATTTCACTTTCTAACGTGGAAAATGTATGTCTCAGATAAATCAAGCAAGATTAACTGTTGTGATGGAGTGTTTCTGTATTGAAAGGCAAATCGACTTACTCCAAATTAAATTTTTTATGCAAGGAAATCAATCTTAGTTAGTTTGTTTTTTACAAAACTGAATGATATTGAATAGAGAGAAAGTTCTATTATCAAAATAAACAAAAGTTCTGAAATGAATGTGGATAAAATGATCCAATAAAATGTACAAACGACGACGCAGGGAATATATTTTAGCAGCTTATTCCATGAAACTGATTTTATTAAGGATAGGAGGTACTATCCGGGAGATTGATATGTCATACGTATGTTGTTTACAATCTTTACATCATTTAAAGCATGTTTCATGGAAGGAAACTGTTTTCTAGGGCACATATTTATCATTATTTTAAGAAGACTTCAGTAGACTCCACGTAAACAGGTAATGTATTAGAAAATTCAGTTTCATCAGAGAGTGAGACAAGTACCTTAGCACAAAATGCTTTAACAGCCATGCTATTTCATTCGTAAATAACCAATTAGGATAAGACCAGCTTTATCCAAAAGCAGTATAAACATAAGAGCTTATGTCTCTTCAGCTGACATGCAGAATGGCCAAACAGAAAAATAGGAATAAATTTAATTTACCAAAGTAAGATATTAAATAATTAATCCTTCAAAAATACATGTAGCAGCATTCAAGCTCCAAAGTCCATTAAATAATACAAAGAATCGTATTTATCTAACGTTGACAGAGGTGTTAGTGGCGTAGCAGCAGGCTAATCTGGATAGAGAATGAGGTTTTCTTAACAATAAAAACGAACTTTTCAATCTAATCAAATGATATATTACAATTAAATTATACGATTTAACAACCAGCAAAATATACAATGTGTTATTACTAGGTAAAATACCCAAATATTGCATAATAAGGTACATAAATTAATGTCTGTCTTATTTTTACAAAATCTGTCGTAGCGGTGCAAGCTGTGTACCCACAGACCTGAATTGCCATTTCTTATTTCATAATTTTTATTCTGAAATATTTGCTTATATTAATCAAAGTAAAAAAGTAACTACTCTGAAAGTATATAGGCGTTACATGTACATGAACGTCTGACTATTTATTCGAACTTCATTTCAAAGAAAATTTAAATGAAAAGAAAAAAATATACATGGGGCTCTTTATGAATAAAATCAAAACTTTTTGTCGTCAATTAAGGTTAAATGTAAAGAGGCATAACTGATGAGACTACGGGGATATGGTGTGGCCTAATTATCAATGCACCACAATTACTCGGCTAGAAAGGTTAATGCCTCAACAATGGAGACATCAGTCACTATTTACGATTTACAGTGTCAGATTAAAAGGTTATAAAATGAACTGTTTAAGGATTATTCAAGCGAGTATAACTTAAATTTTAATTCATTTCCTTGCTTGTTGTTTCCGATATGTTTAACGGTAATGCAGGAAAACTCAGAAAGAAACAGCAAGAACAATTAAGAGGATGAAACACCATTAAAAATTTCTTGAAAGATTTTATTTTTAAAAAATTACAATAACAACAACAACAACAACAACAACAACAACAACAACAACATAATAATAATAATAATAATTATAATAATAATAATAATAATAATAATAATAATAATAAATATAATAATAATAATAATGATTGATCGTTGTTTTACGTCCCATTCGAGAATTTTTCACTCATGTAGAGACGTCACACCATATACCGGTGAAGGGTTTCAAAATGTTAATCGGCACTCGGGGCCATTGAGCAGTGGGGGATCTTTATCTTGCCAACGCCTGCTGTGACATGGGACCTCTGTTTTTAAGGTCTCATTCGAAAAACTTGCAACTTTCACTTTAAGTGCCGAGCGCATGGCAAAAGAACAGTTGCTACTCATTTCTTATCGACAGGTCAGTCGCGACCGAGATTCGAACTCCCGATCACGAAGCGAGAGCTCTACCGACCTAGCCACCGTGAACGGTTCATCATCATCATCATCACCACCATAATAATAATAATAATAATAATAATAATAATGATAACAACTTGTTGACATTTTTGATATGCTCTTTATATCAGACACCTAAAATTTGTTTATTTTCATAAAAAAAAATTCGTTTGTAAACATGAAATCAGTAAGGAGAAACTTCAAGAGTATTGTGCAACAATATATTTGAGAAGTGATGCAAATCAGTAGTGGATACTAAAAAATTCCAACTTTTGGGAAATTTGAAAGCACAATATTTTACCAAAATCAACAGCTTAAAAACTTATGACTTTACTATTTTACACACAACCATTCCTCACGATACATTTAAGTCCAGGCTTTTTGATATCATTGACAGCTGCTTTTTCAATAAAATTGGAACTCGAACATTTACTTATCTTGTCATTGGTCATTTTCAAAATTATATTTAATTGTTAAAAACATTTTGATTGTACACACAAGTACTCTGAAGTTGACATAAACGATTCTTCAGTGTTTGATTGAAAATATCTATTTGGATTTTTGAAGACCAGTTCACCAACAATCTATTGAAATTTCCCATGGGAACCTACTGCTCCCTTCATTAGCAGACCTTTTTTTTATATTCACATGAAGCAGAATTTGTCCAAAATTTTGTGTGAAGAGAAAACACTTGCTGTGTCCTTCAACTGGACATTTAGATATATCGACGACGTTTTGTCAATTAAAAATGGATATTTCCATTCTTATGTCGATACGATATGTATATCCTTGTGAGCTTGAGACAAAAGATACCACAGAGTCTGACAGATCTTTTTCATATTTGGATATATTATTTTACAAAGACTTTAATGGTAATCTAACAACCAAACCTTATAATAAAAGTATGACTTTAACTTTGCAATCGTTTAACTTCCCTTACTTAAGCAGAAATGTAACTTCATCATCTGCATTTCGGGTTTACATCTCTCAGTTGATTCGATACGCAATAGCATGCTCTACGTATGAACAATTTCTAAATCGAGGTAAATTATTGACAAACAAGTTGGTGATACAAGAATATCAGCAGTCTCTTTAAAGTCATCATTTGTTAAGGTCTATGATCGGTGCAATGACCTTTTTAGCAAATACAATTTATCCTTGAGTCAAAAGCTGACTAATGTTTTCCATACTAATTGTTAGGCCATTATTTACACACTGAATTGACGCCGGATTTTTCCGTTATTTCCCGATCATGACAAGGACCAAACAGCTTGTGACCGGTTGGCAGGAGACGCTCACTCCTCCATAGCACTCCATAGATCCCACCTCTCATGTTTTGGAAGTCCGCTCTGCTTCTATATTGTATTGTTTTATGGACTTTTGTGCCTGAATACTGTTCATTATCTTCATATATTTCATTTCAACAACACAAATATAACAGATATTAGAAAAAATACTAAATAATCGAAAAACACGGGGTTCTAGAATTCACAACAAAAGATTAGTATTGGTATTAAAGATGTTGAATATATTGATTGTCTTTCAATTCATCAAGGGCAAGAATAACATCGTCATTGTATTTTCTTGAAAATTTGTCTATAAAAAAAGCATCAAGAGTGTGTCGGTGTTTCATCGTAATTTTGTTTCATTTTGCACTCATTCCTGGACATCAATTGAAACAAGTTTGTTTTTCACAATTATTTGAATGCAAAAGATTTAAAAGTACAACTTTTAACTTAAGAGCATTAAGGGTAATATAAAACATGCGGTGGTACCTGTATTGAAAACAAACGTCGATAAGACAATTCATTAAACGTGTCGATGATCAAATGATATATTACACAAGTTTTCCGAGCACATTTTTTGCGCAGGTAAAAAAATATAAAGTAGCAAAGCAGTTTACATTTTTGTTCAGTCTAGTTTGATCAGCTCAAAGGTAAAGTTATTTTTCAGTTTTTTTTTATCACAAATATCTTTTTTCACCAAATTTATTTGCTCCTCTTATAAATCTTCTTAAAACTTGAACGCTAGCCCATGCAAGAAAACTTTAAGGTGTATTTGGATAGGTGATCAGTATTTTAAAACAAACAATCTTAAAAAAATATTTATTTAATGTGTTTATAAGAATTAAAAAGAAATTGCGTGGGAATATAAAAAAAAAATTATTCGATGGTTTACTAATTGTTATGGTAGCTGTTATATTCTTTCTATTTGAAATTAACAACATAAATGCCTCATCATTAGTGTTATTTGTTCATACCTTGTAGTTCATTTCGAATTTCGAAGCAATTACAAAGCGCTCAATACAACTGCAGTGAAACATAAATTGGTCAAAAGTACAAACTTATTTTTATTGACTACAAATATGTTACCAATTCAGTTAAGTATTCTTTGAAAGAAACAAGGTGACTTTTGTTGCATTAATATACTTTTATCACTTGCATGTTGGGATTATGCCTCCGAGTTGAGCATGCTCTACGAAAAAATTCTACAACAACAAAACAAAAACCCACGCTTTAAAAAAAAAAAAAAAATTATGAAAAGAAATATATAGACAGATTTTTTCGAGCACTTTTATTACTGACATCCCCAGCAAATACAATTTATTATGAAGTCGAATGCTGACTGACTTTCTCATACTTATTGTGTGGTCATTATGTACACAATGAATTGTATAGTACGGATTTTCCCGTTTGCCCGCTGCATTTCATTTCCGGAAATATGCATAGCATTTCCGACAATTTTTTATTTCATTTCCGACATTTTTTGTTTTCATTTCCGACATAATATTTCTTTCATTTCCGGAATTTACCTGTGCGGCAATTCAATGTTTTCTTAAAGTATTTATACCAAAATATTGATACAAAATAATAATAATAATAATAATAATAATAATAATAATAAACAGCTTTACATTTATGCATATCTGTAGAACTAAGTTTCCGGAAATGAAATGCAGCCCGTTTGCCGACCATGATAATTAGCAAACGGCGGTGTGACCATTCGGCAGGGGATGCTTACGAGATCTATCCCTGTTATTTTTAGCCCCTAATATTATATTGTTTCAACAGACGTTTGATTATTGTTCATATCTAGGGATTTTAAATCATTTTTGAAATATGTATCAAATCGAAAGGGTTAGAAAAGAGAAAATAAAAGTGTTTTAAAATAATCACGTTTCATGTTTTATTTTAAAACATTAACTAAAATGTACGATTCGTAATTAGAAACCCCTTGAATTTGATTTCAAATTAATGTAAGCACATGAACCTTTCTTTTATCCTTTATTTGAATTCTTCTCTAGATTAAAGATGTCTCCATTGTTCCTAAGTGTGTTGGTAGTACTGGGGGTCAGTGTTAGCGCACAATTCGATACCGGATTTAACAGATTTGACAGATTTGGCCGCAGATGCCAAACAGTAAGTATATTGCATTAGTTCCGAGTTGTTTGAAAGTTTGGAATCACGGAAACATTAAGTTTAAAAGAACGTTTTAAAATAATCACTGCATAGTTTCTGTCATATGAATTTGATGCCTTTACCTCTACTTGACCTGTACCTGTATTCTGTTTTTGTTCAGACATCTATTGGAGACACGTGTCCGGGGTATCAGGTCTGTCTGGCAGGCACGTGCCGGGATGCTCGAGGTATGCATACCTTAACATTTGTGTAATGTGCGATTACCAATACTTCTCTCTATGGATTATCTGAAGTGGTTCTATCTAGTTATTATAGCTCTACTGATTTTTCACTATATAAGAGTAAATCAATATATTTTGCTGATTTCCTGAAAATCACCACAAAAAGACTGATTCCCTGCAGAAAGGTGTGTCAGTTTGATGAATTGATACACACCTATTCGGAACACCTAGCAATTTCTTTTAATCATATGAAAAGTACCGATGTGTTCCAAAAAATCATGAATATTCACAATGCAGCTGTATAAGGAGGCGGGGCCTAATTTATACGGGAAATGTAACTTGTTATTATGACCAGACGTCATCCTTGTAAACTAATGTGCATTGAGAGCTATCCACAGATCACATAACCTTGGTAACTTTGTAACAGTGGAAATTGTTTATAAAACAAAAACATTTTTCTTGTAGATACAAGTATTTTGTATCTAATTGATTCTTGAAAATGCAAAGACATTATATTGAATTTATTTATTTTATTTACATTTTAAGTAATTAACATTTCCTTTATTTCCATTTCCTTTATAACTGCACTAGCTGTTTGAATAAGAATTGTAGTAACTGGCTTTGAAACTGTCTAATTTTTGTATCGGTATAATAAAACAGTTAAAGTATATCATTGAGAGAGTCAGCAAGCGCCTCGGGAAATAGACTTGCTCTTGGGGAACTGGAATCTTGCTGACTCCCTCAATGATATACTTTAATTGTATATTATAACAATAATCCGATTCCCTGTGTTCAGTTGTCCTTATCTTCTGCAGTGTGTTAGTTATTGCAGTTTTCTTTTTGTTTCAGGAAACTTTGAGAGATGCTCAATGGTAAAAAAAACTTTTGGAAAGCAATTGCTAGATTATTCTAAATATTTATCAAGAGTTATGTTTTAACAAATTGTGGTAATTTGAAATTACATGTACCTTAAAAAGTATTTAATCACAATACGTAGATTATGTTATCCATCAAAGAAAATAAAGACTTGCATTATAAATAATTTTCTATTGACTAAAATGAAATAGACTCTGAAAAAACAGAAGGTAATAAAGAAAAATATAAGAATAATTTTCTCTTTCAGGGTGGGACATGCGAAAATTCCTTTACACACACGTGCAGAAAAGGATATTGTGTACCAAGTAGGACTTTTTTTTTTATCACATGTACATTTTCTTACATATTTTCAGAGATTATGTCATACATGTATTCCATAAGTAGCAAAATAAATGAAATTTTATCTTTATGACCTAAAATGTATATTATACGAGAAAGAGTTTAAATACATTGGGTAAATATGTATTATTTAGTTATTGATATAATTAGATGAATGAAATCATACATTGTTAAATCTTTATTTCTTTCTATCCCTACATTGCTTCGACGTACGATTAGTTTATTACAGTTAAAATGATGATATAAAATAAAAAAAATGTTTTCTTACTTACAGCTTTAGGAACATGTAGATTGGTGAGTATACACATAAAAATATCAGTTCACTTAAGCACAATATTGTCTCAGCTACGTTATTTTCATTTTAAGAAACTCAACTAAACGAAAAAATATTTAATAGGCAGTAAGCGCATAAAAACAATAAAATCTAATATTTAACCCCTATTTCTTTTTCGCTTACATTATGAACTAGGTGGTCTTTTTTGACGAATGGACAAAATTCAGAAATATGTTTTGCTTTTTTTTTTTTTTACATTTAATCCACCTAAATCTCTATAATATGCTATATTTTTGGCATCAGTTTGATTGATTGATTCCTTGTTTAACGTACTGGTAGAGATTTTTTCACTCATGTAGAAACGTTTCATTATTTTGCAGGATCGCGACTGCGGGATTCGGCAAAGATGTAATTTGGGGACATGTGTAGCTGGTATGATCATTAGTTGAATAATTAAGTCTTAATACATAATGCGAACTAACCTTCATTATGTTTTGGAACGAATGTAAATCAACAAATTTATTTGAAATCTAATCTCAATTATACTTCGGCAGTAAGAATGGAAAGTTGTCATTTTCTTTTTCAGATACCACCAGGGAATGCCGATCGGTAAGTTAAAAAATTAAAGTTGTCATCATAAGTGAAATTTATTCTGTATTATTCAGATTAGATTAGATTATCGCTAATTCTGGGTCTTGCTAAAATTCCACTTATAAATTAAAAATGTTTAAGCGATCTCAGTCAGAGGTCTAACTTTGATTTGTTCTACTGCTTGGTAAACTTAAGCAATTTCAAATATTTAATACACATTTATGAAGAAAAAAAATGATACATATCTTTCATTCTTTGTAATAACAGGAACGAGACTGCGGATTTGGTTCCCAGTGTGTAGGAGGCAGATGTTATTCAGGTAAAGAATATCATGCTCACAATTATATACTTGTATGTACTTGTTAATGTTTTGATCTTTGTAAAGTATTTTATTTTGAACTTCTAATCAATACAACTTTCAATTAACTATGTCATAATAATTTTGTTCAAGTTTAAAGTTTAGAGTATGGATGATGTTTAAAATATCTTTTTTATTTCAGATTCAACACAGTGCAGGAGAGTAAGTGGAAAATTTGTTACACATCTATAGATCCTTGTTTAAAGATTTATTTTTTGTATTCAAATGTAAACCAATATCAAATAATATAAACACAACATTGTAATCTATATCATTTTAATCATTATTGAAGGCGTGGCGCTCAGAATATTCAAACGTTATTGCACTGAAATATTTATCATAAAATTCTTCCAATAAACATGTAGTTAAATATCAAATTGATGCAATTTCAGGACGTGGACTGTGGACCAAATCAAAGATGCCGAGGAGGAACTTGTCTCGCAGGTGAGATATGAGAGCTGTGTAATATTTTACTTTTTACATAAACTGGGTATTAGAGACACCCTAAATTAGATTTTTTAAGAAAACAACATGCAATAAGAGATTTGCTTTTCTTTTCCAGACACACATTGCAATCAGGTAAGAAGATAAGAGATTCAAAAGAACTTTATCCCTCTTAAGATTTATATTTTTGGCAATTATTGCAAACTTATACTTATCTGAAAATTATTTGCATCATTGCATTTTCAATGATTTTAGAAGCTCTTCAAAAATTGATTTTTAATTAATTTTAATGATTGGAAATTATGGATATTTATTATTGATACAAAATGTATATTTTGGATTATGAAGCCATCCAAAGAATAATGTGAACTGATACGTGTAAACATTCGATTGCTTTCTCTTTGTAAATCCTATCTTTAAGATTAGCTTGAGCAAGTTATCAAAAATAACAGTAAAAACGATATATTTTTATTTTTCATTTAAATGCAGGATAATGATTGTGGATTCGGTCAGTACTGTCGATTCGGCACCTGTATGGAATCAAACATAGGTAATCATAAAAACGAAAGAAAAAGAGTTTTTAAAGTCGAACTTTAAACACGAATGTCAGTTAAATGTTACATTTACTTTTAACAAAAACAGAAATGAGCTTTTGTACAATTATGTGTTTTTTAGGAGGTCCAATGATTCCTGGAGGTATGGGAGGACGATGTAGGAGGGTGAGACATTATATTCAATATCAAACTGTACATCTATTGTCATCTTCACCTTTATTTATAATCTGAACAGCCTTATATAATACATTTTAGAAAAGCGCTATTCAATGTACTTATCACCTATCAATATGTTAAAGCCGTATGTGTTCTTCACTGTTGGATATAGTTGTATTGCTGTGTCCATTATTTCCTTTAACTAAAACATAAATGTTTTGTAACTGTAGACCAGAGACTGTGAGTTGTACGAGCGATGCTTTAACGGTTACTGTATGCCAGGTATGGTGTATTATATTAACTTGATATATTTTTGTCCGACAAAATAAATGAATATAAAGCCTTAAGCGTCAATCTAAAAATAGCTAAGCAAATGTCGGAGTAAAATTTACTAAAAAAAACCCTCAAAATTAAGATTCAATTTTGAGTAAGCTTTGAAATATAATACACTCATTTCCTTAAACTCTACTTTGTTTCAAATACGATTTAGAGTTTTTGTGTTTTTAAAGTTCATAAACCCTCTGCTTACTTATATAAAATGTTGCTTGAACCTAAATGATTTTTGATTTTTCAATAGAAATTTATTTTATAAGTAAATTACAAAAAATTATAGCATAGCTTGCGGGGCAAAAATTGGACGAAAAAGACACTTCAACTAGGCATATATAAAGGATGTTAGACATTTATGTCATTAAGAGTTACCTCTCTTATCAGAGTATCAATGAACCTTAATCTTTCCCTTAGGTCAGAACCAGGGATCCTCTTACTGTGATCTTTACCGTGGGGTGAGTCTTGATTACTTCATCGTTTTAGATTCCAACCTCTTTTGCTGATATTTCTAATTTTTTAAAGGAATTTTAATTCGCTTAAATGGACAACTAAAATCAAAATAAAAGAAAGATGAAATACCTTTTTATCAATATGATTTTTGTTAAAATAGAAAAGTAGTCGTAACATATATCCATATATAATAATACATTTTTAATGCTTTAGAGAAACTGTCAGCTAGGATACCAGTGTTTAAACAATCGATGTGTACCTATGGGTAAGTTATTCTAGATGGAATATTGGGAATTGAAAAAAATAAATGAGAGTTCTGTTTGATCATAATTCCGTTTAAATCTTTGAATGTGGGCAACAAAAACTATAATATTTATCATCTGCATATTTTTTTTTCAGGTACAGAAACTCACCAGGAATATTGTAGAAGCGTAAGAAAAAATATATATTAATCTTTTAATTTCTTTTATCATGACAAAGTAAGGCTTATTTTCTTAAAGTAGCTGATGATTTCTATTTTTAGAGTCGACAATGTGAATCTGGCTACCGCTGTGTGAGAGGGCGCTGCACACCACGACGCCGTAAGTTATTTTGCATGAAACCAAACACAAAAAAGAAAAGAAGGTTACATTTTCCCCCTGAGGAACGCCTAATACAAAATAGTTTCTCAAAGATTAGAGTAAAAAAAATTTCAGTGCTCCTTTTAACGTAACATTAAATAATTATATTATGTTATATTAGTTATATTATTTTATATAATATTATTTCATTATGCGTATTTTAATATAACATATGTCATTGCAGTTTAATACCGGATAAAGGTGCTTACAAAAATGATGCAGGAGAAGACCCAGGTTGAGAATAAATCGAGAGGCATGTACGGACAATTCTTTTGTGGAGAAAGAAAGACAATAGTTGTGACGACATAGTTCTTAATAAATTGAATAAAATTTAAAAAAGTGCTTTTTTATTTACTCAGGCGGTTAAAGGGCTTAAAATGTTATGTCATCGTTATCTGTATATATTTCCGTTTCTATTTTTCTTTCTCTGTGATATCTATTTTAAAATTAATTGAGTTGATACCTTGATCATTCTACCGGAATGTAAATTTCGCCAAGCGATAGTACAGGAGCTAAGGAAGCCTAATATGCATATAATTATCGTGCTTTTACGTATCTCTGTCTGATGCTCAGGAGACCTAATATGCATGTAAATCTCTTGCAGCTGTCTTTGTGTTTGACGTCAGTGGGCGGGGACTATTGAAATTGACATATAAAATCTTTGTTTTTGGCAAATTAAAATGCCCAAAATTTCAGCACACAATAGAAATAGATAGGGGATATAGGATCTAATGACTAACTTACCTTGTCGTTGGTCATTTGCAAATTTAATTTGTTTAAAAACACTATGATTGTACATGAAAGTACTCTGAGGTTAACATCGAAAATATACCTCAGTTTCTGATTAACAATATCTATGTGGTTGTTAGAGACCAGGTCCTCCAACAATCTATTGGAATTCCAATGGGTACCAATTACGCCCCCTTATTATTGTATTCATATGTAGCAGAATTTGTCCAAAATATTATACGTGAAAAGAAGAAAACAGCTGCTATGACCGTCAGCTTGACATTTAGATATATCGACAACGTACTGTCAATTAACAATGGTTATTTCCATTCTTATTTTGATACAATATATCCCTGTAAGCTTGACACATCTGTTTTATATTTGGATATTTTACTTAAAAAAGAAGTTAATGGTAATCTAACAACCAAGCTCTATGATAAACGTGATGATAAACTTTTCAATAGTCAACTTCCCTTACTTATTTGCGGCAATATTCCTTCTTCACCTGCATACGGAGTTTAAATCTCTCAGTTTATTCGATACGCAAGAGCATTCCTTACGAATGTATAATATCTAAAACGATGTAAATTATTGACAAACAAGTTGATGACACAAGAACATCAGCAGTCTCGTTTCAAGACATCATTTCGTAAGTTCTATCGTCGATACAATGACCTTGTCAGAAAATACAATTTATCATTGAGTCAAATGCTGACTGACGTTTTCATACTAATTGCTAGTCTATTATTTATACACTGAATTGACGACGGATTTTTCCGTTATTTCCCTATCATGACAAGGAGCACACAGCGGGTATGAGCGGTCGGCAGGGGATGCTCACTCCTCCATAGCACCTGATCACACCTTTGTTTCGGAGGTCCATGTTTCCCTCTGCTCCTATTTTTATTGTTTTATAGACAATTGAGCTTGAATAATGTTCGTCATCTCCATATTTTTCATTCAGAAATGAACTTCGACACGGTTTTAGTTCAGAGTCAATCTCTAAAACCAGTGAGAGATACTGAAATGTTCCCTAAGAGCTTTATCCAGCAGCTCTAAGATTGTAAAATACGTTAAGTTACTAAGCCACAACACACGATATTTAAAACAAATCACATTTGCTTCAGTTACATGTATTCAAAATGTCACTTCTATATCATTTTAAGAGGTTTTCGCCATTATTTCAGTCCTAAAAGTACATCGTAGGCCTCTTAAAATATAATGAAATATTCATGTAAAATTCTATTTATCTCTTAAGTCGGTATAAACCCATCATATTAAAAGGACCCAATTGACATTTATCTACAAATTATCAAAGTTCGATAAAGAATAAAGATACTCTTGGAAAGAACAGGATCTTTACATCTAGTCACGAATACCGATTATTTTGGTCTTGTAATTTATCTTCCATTCATTATCTAAAAGCATGTGTCATGTCTCAGTTTATTTGCTATCTAGAACAAGAAATTACTCATACAACTCAAAGCTACACCGTTGATTTCCCAAAGCTACTAATTTATTTCTTGACTTAATTTTTTTTAAAATGCTTCTTCGTGCAAAAAGCTGAAATCATAAAATATATTTTACATAGAAACTTTCATGTTTCTCAATTTTCGCAGAGTGCACTTTCTAAAGTTCTCATCGTTTTAGATTCTATGAATCCGCGTTTTGCTTATGCTGTCATTTGGAGATATCACAGATCGCATCTAATTTTATATTATGCTAATCATCATTAAATTCTAAGATTGTATATACTTGTAAAACTTTTGTATGGTGCAATTGTCATTTTTTAACAATAAAGTTTCTATGTCTTCAAGAAACCTTGGCTTACATAGAAATGCATTAAAGGAGAATTGATGCAAGGTCAGCTTTCAATGTCAAATTCTATTTTGATTTGTAATTAATTAAACTCCAATATAATGAGTTTCTGAATGAGGAGCAAATATCCTAAAAATTCTGTATTAGAAAAATATCTATGTATTTATTCCAATAGGAGAAAAGCTCTTGATTCTTTTTATTGATTATGCTGAGTGACCCCATCCCAAACTGATATGTTTGAATGACTGAAACTACATTGTTTCAAAAGATACCCCAAGAGTACTCAGCGTCTTAATAATTATTTCATAAGGAATTCCACGAGTAATGGGATGAAATCATTGAATATTAAGAGTTGTTCTATACATGAAGGCGTTTAAAGGCTGTTATTACGTTTGTTTCTCTCAGTGGATTCTGAATTATTCCCTAAAGAAAACCCAGGAAGGCAGGGTAATTACTTTCTCAATTATGTGTTCGCATAAAGTGCAGTACAATGCATAATTACATGTAGTACAGGTAATTAACTTCATTCCATGGTATGACTTTAACGTTCTAAAATGATATTTTTAAAACTGAAAACGATTGATACAATTTTAACAAGTTTTGTCGTTGAAAGTTCCAATGGCAAACGAAATGTTCTTAATGATTTTGAATTTCTCAAAGTTAGCTACGGTTCTGAACCAAACATAATATCTGTGCTTATAATGAGAATCTTTGTCTTTTAAACCTCAGTTATTATACGTCATACCTTTTGCAAAAACATAGTATTGAGAGCTACTCTAAAGAAGCATGCAAGAGATAGGATCTTGTCACCAGCTGTCAGAGTTATAGACTTAAGGCTGGATTTTGAAGTTGTCTCCAAGATACATATACGTCTTTCCAAAATATCATGCTCTGTCTCACACAACTCTTCATTCTTCATTATTTCTGTGCAAGAAAGACGTGATATGAAGTAAGGCATAGGTACATATATAATAATTCTATAAAGAAGAGGCAAGGAAAATTAATTGCATCTTTGCATGACTTTATTGCATGGGGGATGAATAAGTTATAGGTTTATGTTCACAATTCGTATACAGAGCAATCTTAGATGATCAAATTTCAACTATATAAGCGTAGGTTTATAATAAAGAAATGAACTGTCTTGAAGTAAATCAATATTACGTTTGCCTTCGCCTTTGACTGAGAAAGATCTGTGATTTATGAGAAAAAGGAAAAATGCTTAGTTCTCTTCATGGATTTCGCTCAACACCAAGATGAGTAACATACATAACATGAGCCATGACTTGAAAGCCAAAAATAAAGTGTACTTATAAAAACAATCACACCATCGTGGCATATTTTATCAATTAGTGTTTTCTCAAGTTTTATTTAAATGGAAAAATTCATATAAATTTTTCTAATTCAATTAAATTTTGTTGGAGGACAGATGCATTGCATATACATGAAATACAATGTTGTATATCATAGTTTGAATATTTTTGAGAACGTTGTTATATCAGGAAAATATACATATGTAATTTAAAAAGTACATTTTATGGCAAAAAATACAAATTAAGTTTGGATATTTAGAATTTCACACAAGGTACAGGATTGTAACTGTGAAAGAATTCAATTTGTCACACAAGATTTTCTCGTTTATTCAGTGTAAAACAGTTTTTGTGTAGATGAAAAAAAAAGACATGGAAACGTCGGTGAAAATGCGCCCTAACTGGGTCACTTTCAGCGACGATTTCAAGAATATACTTCAGTGAAATGAAAATATATGTTATTTCTTCATTTTTGGATGAGTTCAGCCACCGTAGAGGACAAGTCAATCCTAGTATTTACCCTACAATATTATAGAAAGAATGGTTGTGTCCATGTTTTTTGTTATGGGAAATTTGAAAGATGTGCCACGTCCGATCAAAAAATAAAAAAGAAGGTGTACAATGGCACTATTTAAGAAACATTCTGTGAAAATAACTTTATATTTCATTCAGTGGTATAGGAGGGGCTATGAATAAGAGATGAATGCCCCAAACCGCAAGAGACGGCCGAATGTACAGACAGACGAACGGACGGACGTACAGCTAGGCGGACGGACGGACATCCAGATCACTATATACTCATCCACTTTTCAAGCGGGGGGAATTATAAATATTTCATGTAAAACAATGATATTTGAAAGATATCAGATATATCTTTGGCGCAAGGAAATGCTTGTAGCCTTTCCTTTTTTGGCCATATTTTGGAGGCCACCTATTTTGCCAAATTATATGTGTTATGTAATAGTCACATACTGGGAGACTAATTGTTATTGCATAATTGTTTTATAATTTTTCTCAGGAATTGTGTTTTAAGGTTACATTGTCTCCCAGTCTTTTTTATTCAGTTTTATGTATTATATTATATGTTGTCATTTCATAATAAATGACATATTTTTGGAACAAACATGTCTTGCGTTATTTGGCAAAAAACAAGCTCAATGTTGTCAGACTGGTGTTTAATTCAAGGAATGAAAGCTGAACTTAAATGATATTTTATGCTAGTAAAATTATTTTAAGTTAAGTTTCATGTATTATATGTTAATTAGTATTTCCCCACTTTGTGCCTCTTTATCTGTAAACCCGTGGGGACTGGGGACCCCCCGGTAATTTTATCCTTTTGAGATAAGAGAACTAGCATCATTATATCTACTGCTATTGTAAAGACAAGACGGCCAAACATTTGCTGAAATATTTTTTGGATTACCCACCTCCATCCCCAAACAGACTTTAACTGTACATTAGGCCACCTCAAGCTCATATGTCT